TTTTTAATTGTATCCTTTGGTATATATTTTTTTCCACTATTTGATCTGAGGAAGTGGGTCTGGCCCACGAAAGCTCATCATCTAATAAACCATCTTGTTAGTCTTTAAAGTGCTACATTGTCCTGCATTTTGCTTCAGCTATCCCAGACTAACACGGCTACATTTCTATTACTATAGAACATTTATATGTCTGGTATTTTCACAATGTGTTTCCAGGACAGAAAGCTCAAAAACTGGACTGTCCGGTTCAAAACCGGACACCTGGCAACCCTATGTCCCATCATCACGCCTACTGAGAAGAGAGACAGCTTCCCTGGGACTACATCTCCCACCATGCACCGCACCGCTCCACACTGACTAGGGATCCCCTCCCAGTGCCGCGGTGCATGCTGGGCATTGTAGTCCACGCCCTGTCCTCCCTGACCATTTGCCCCGCAAGGCTGAGACCGGAAGGGGTAAGGATGACACCGTGCCACTGTGGGACGCAGGGCCTGTCAGCTAAGTAATGTGGAGCCTGGTTGGCTCCAATCTGGCTGGGGGTAGAGACCTGCAAGGATGAGATCGGAAGTGATATCTCGGAAGCGGACGAGCGGTGCGTGTGGCGTCATCATAAAATGGCGGCCTGAGGCGAACGGACTCGGTCTCCCCTTCCTCAGGTGTGTGCGCGCACAGTCTTCCCCACCCCAGCCGGGCCTCAGGCAGCTGCCTCCGCCGCTTAGGGGAGGGGCAGGCGGGACCGAATCTACGGATCTTGGCGGCTGTGGGAGGGGACGGGACCAAATCGCCCTGCTGTGGGGGCAGCGACAGACGGAACGGAACCAACCACTCCGGTGTATGGGGAGGGGGGGGCCTGCTGGGCTGGGAATCGGGGATGGGGCCGAACCACCTAGCGTAGGAGGAGGGCTGAGGGGGCGGGCTCGAGCGTGGTAACTGGGGCGGTGAGGGGCTGGGCAGAGGGCAATGGAAGCGCCCCGGTCAGCTCACTGAGGAGTGAGGGGAGCAGGGACCCGCTTACCCTCCTCCCCCTAGCAAATAGCTGCAGCCCTGGGGAGCCTTGTCTACGCCGGGCACTTCACTTTCATCCCCCACCGCTGGGGCGGGGCAGGGCAGGGGCAGGGGCGGACGTGCTGAGCGCTGCTCAGCCATGCAGGGGTGGCAGGGCGGGGCACTCAAGATTCACGCTGCTTCCAGAGAGTAATTGCGAGTGGAATGCATTCCTCTGGCTTTTGCGCTGGCTTTAGCCTGATGCTTTCCTCTTGCTGTGGCACAGCTACAGGTTGGGCCTCTCTCTGGTCAGCGCCCTCAGTACCTGACCGGTCCTGGAGGATGGAGTTTGCTGGACCAGGAGAGGTCATTTCTGACCCCCTTGCTCCCCAGCCCTGGCCCGCCTCCCAGCCACCTCCTCCTCCTCACTGACCCCTGCTGTCCTGTTGGCCCTCCCAACACCTCTGCACACTGAGCTCTAACTGCAGTGCCTGGCAGCCCTGCTACCATGTGTAGGGCTCCCACTGCCCTGCTGGGAAGGTCCACTACCTACCTGGGACTCCTGCTGCCCTGCCAGCCTGCTGGTTTCCCAAGTGCTAGCTCTCCAGCAGGGACTCTCTGGTCCTGGACCACGGATGTTGCTGGATCAGAGTGTCCTCATTAAGAGAGTTTTAACCTGTAGTAACAACTGACTGTAGCAAAACGAGAAAAGGGTCTAGCCAGGATACTCAGGTATAGTAGTGCAAAAGGACTTTAAAAAGTTGACAGGATCTCTGATTTTCCTTGTAAGATAGCTTTAAATCAGCATTATTATCCCCATTTGATATTTAGAGAAAGCTATTCACAGAGATGTTGAATCTTGTCAAGAGGCACAGTGTTGCAGATATGACACTACAATGCAGGATTTCCTAGTATCAACACCTATGATTCCATGCAAAATTCTGTTTCTGTAAATACTCTACAGTTTAGAAACTTTAACATTCATCTTATTGAACTGTTTCTGTAGAAGCATCAAGCTCATAGATTTGGATGAATGAATGATTTATCTAGAGTTCAGGGGTCTTTTTAAGTTGGTAGAAGTGTCCTTTTCCTTCCCATACCTTGTGTCTGTGTACATTAAGATTAATAGGTTCCACACTGAGAGGGATCCGATGATTGGTTTCTCGCTTCCTTATATATTGTACAAATGACATTATGTTAAAGTGAGTTTCATTGTAGTGATCATGGAAACAGCATTGGACACTGTCTCCCACCTAACTTACTATGTTTGAAAGACAAATTGCAGTTGTAATAAAGTTCCTTTGCTTCTTTAGGCCAGAATGAAGACGCTTCATCCCTCTACCAAAATGCAGTATTCCCATCACTGTGAGCACCTTCTAGAGAGACTGAACAAGCAGCGAGAGTCAGGCTTCCTTTGTGACTGCACAGTAGTTATTGGTGAATTCCAGTTCAAAGCTCACAGAAATGTACTTGCCTCCTTTAGCGAGTACTTTGGCACATTTTACAGGGATGCCTCTGACAATAATGTGGTTTTGGATCAGACCCAAGTGAAGGCTGATGGATTTCAGAAACTCCTGGAGTTTATATACACAGGAAACTTAAACCTTGACAGGTAACATACCTTTATTTTTTTTTTGAGAGAGAGAGAGCGCTTCAGTACTGGTTTCTTTTCCATAAGTTATGGAAGAACACATTTAATAGCAGATACAGTACATGTGAAAGACTAAAGCTCTGTTATGTATGTGGCCTGAAACACTGCCATACAGCTATAATGATAATATGAATCAACTAACATTTCCCTATTATTTTCTATTAAAAGAATGTTATGTTTAACTTGTAAAAAGGATCCTGAAATTGGATTCCTACTTTCTCTCTTGATAGTGTATCTAAACTCATTATTAGCCCTTAGCAATTGCTTTCATCTATTTATTTTTCAATTGCTGCAGTTCTCTCTGCCCCTTCCCTCATAAGTTCTCTCACAATGGCAGTCCTGATTTCATTTGCTTTGTAAGCATTGCAACAGTTAGTGTAAGGTATCCAGAAGCCATTAAGCATGCATCTGGGGTTTTCAGACAAGCCACATCTAATTTTTTCTCCCACGAGCAGAAATTTTGTTATTTGCACCAAGATGTATTTGGAAGTGCATCACCAGTAGAAACACATGCTACTGGCTGTGGGAGCTCTGCTAAACAGCTGGGAGGCACCTGAATCTTTCCTGGTTGGCTGCCGAAGTACTCATCTCACAGTGAACATTGATGCACATTCATATTATGAGGCATGTATGATCTAGTTACCTTGTCAGGGGTCTAACTAGAATCAACTTTTCTGTACTTTCAATATCATCTATATAAATCTTCTCCAACCTATATTTGGTCAAGTGACTTGCTGGAATGACTTTTCATATTTGTAACTTTGTTTCTGAACTGAGATTAAGAAAACATCCTACTTGAACTCTTGGAGCAGAAGGCTAATTCCCACAGTAATGTTGGTTGTACAAGAACCCATTTCCCCCCATATACACAGAGCAGCTATATAAGCAGGAAAGGCAAATACCAGAGTTTGGAGGCAATATAGAGAGGGCTCCCCACTATCAGAGCATTCTCCTGCAACCAACCATTCTGGATCAGGCTTAGTCCTCCCTCAGTTTATCCTAAAATCTCCAGGGCTGAGTAAATTTTCCATCTTTTTCTCCATGGAGAACCCTGAAAGTCATCTTCCCCTCTCCAAGAAAAGAATGTTATCCCTCTGTGTCCAAGTTCAGCTCTGCTTTCAGGTATAACTTATTAATAGAATATCAACCTTCAGTAATCCATCTTGTTCTCAAAACCCCCAAAATAAGGTAGGTTAAAATGCAGCAGCCTTCTAGCTCCATACTCCTGGCCACTCACCCGAGAGTGGCCACTCACCCAAGAGTAACCATTCCCTCTTCAATTCCTATGCCCAGGCTGCTGCATCTCCAGAGTAAGGATGTTAAGTATCAGGTAAATGACTAATTGTGTATCAAGTCCACAATTAGTCGATAAGGAGCCACTGTGTCTCTTCAGTTTAAATGTAGTAGGAGCCTGGCATGCAAGCAGCCCAGCTCCTACTACATTTAAACTGCAGAGCCACAGTGGGATGAAGCAGTTCCAGCCTGCACCAGGTCTGGATCGCAGCAGCTCTGCCTTTTAAATGTACTAAGAGCCAGGTGACTCTTAGTACATTTAAAAGGCAAAGCTGCAGTGTCCCTGAACCTCTGCCTCCCTTGCCCCGCCCCCTACTGTGGAGAAGTTGCTGTGGAGAACTGGCCTTTTACACCAGCTTCCCCCAGCACCAGCTCCTTCCCTCCCAGCCCCCCCATTGCGACCTCTGATGTAGAGGCGGAAAGGAGGGGATGTGAGGAATATGAGCAGTTGACTAATTGACTACTCTTTTACATCCCTGTTTCAGAGGTCTCTTCATAGTGTTTCATTGCCCAAGCTCCTTTGCTTGCAAGTCCTACTTCTTACAGGGGAACCCCACTCTAAAATCAGCCTACCCTGACTAAGTTTTTCTCCTTTACTTTGAGGCTTCTGTACGAATCTTCTGTTTCTCGGGGTTTCCCCATCTGGCCAATTCTTTCTAACAGCTTCCACCCACTTCACTCTCCCAACAGTTTTCTACGTTTCTTTATCTTCACAAGAAGCGCTCACCTATCACTGTCTCATATAGCACTCTTCTACATGCTCCCCTTTCTCAACTGTTGCCATGGTCTTTATAGAGGCAAAGTGCCCTCTGTCACTCCCTGTTTGGTAGGCAGTTAACTAGTAATAGGTGAACTGGATCCGTTTCCTCTTAAAGAGGCCATTCATCCCATGATAGATAGTTTAGGGACATCAACTTAAAATTGTATGTATGTATGTATGAATTTGGTTTACCTATTATTGTTACAAGCAGCACTTATTACTGTACCTGAAAGTGATTTGAAAAAAAAAATCGTCATCTTTTTAGTTATTTGTGCACTTTACATCACCTTGTGCATAGTCAGCTTTAAAATAATTCCTTCTTTGCAGAAATACTTAAAAATATTGGAGCCTTAGACAGTTTCACTAGGCAATCAGTGCTTGAAAGGAAAACTTGTATAATACAGGATATTCTAATCACTAGCTCTGTGTACCAAAAATAGCAGTTTTTAGTAATTTAGGCTCCGCTGCTGCAATTGGATCCACTCTGGCAGAAACTGCATGTAAAACTGTTAGTACAGCATCCTGGTTGCACAAATAAAATGACAAGAAGTCAGGCACCGTAAGACCGTCATTAGTTTTGCCACACTGCTAATATGTACAGGTTGAACCTCTTTAGTTCGGCAGTCTGATCTGGCAATATCTGTGGTCTGGCATTATTTTAGTTAGCCTGTGGTTCGGCAAATTCTCTGGTTTGGCACGGGTCAGTCCCAAGGGTGCTGAACTAGAAAGGTTCAGTCTGTTACAATAGCATTATTCAAAATATGTTGTTTTTTTTTTTTACAGCACCACTATATTTTTTGTACCATTGTATTTGTGGAAGTCCCTATTATTAGACCAGATATATCTCATGTATCACAATAAATGTCTAGTTTTTAATAATTTCCAGATTATTGTCTATTCTTTGTGTATCTTTAATATAGAAAATATATGATGTACCTTAGGTATAATACAATTGAATGTTCTTTCAGCGATATGGACAATCTAATGCAATAATTAAAACATTAGTTTTTTATTTCCTGGCTTGTTGTGATTTGAATTGTGCAACCTTGAACTAATTTAGGGATTTGTGTTCAAGATTTTATTGTAGTTTAACATTTGACTTTCTAAGCTATTATAACCAATTACTGCAGTTTTTCTTTAAGAAAGTGCTTCTACAAACCACTGCAGCATCCTTAGAATGCTTTTGTAACTGCTGGTCTTTCCCTTAATGAAGAGAGGTAATGAGAAAGGAAGAGGAGAAAATAGATGGACAAGAAGAAAGGCAGGAAAGAAAGACAGATAATACAAGAAAAGGAGATGGGAAGGAGAAATGGAAAAAGAAAAAAAGGGGTTGAAAGAACACTAGTGGTAAATTCTGTTTTACTCACTTTAGTATTGCATATTATTTCTCATTGAGAATATCAAAACTTGGGCTGATCTTCTGAACCTTCACTGCTTTTATTTTTTATTATTTTTTTCCCTTTTGTATTTATAATGAATCCATATAAGCTTAGATCAAGGTGATTTATGTCATTCTTTGTCATTTTATTGTACTGAAAGTAATTGCTCTATATATTGTGTAGATGGAGATTAGCTTTGTTGTTTAAAATACGTCTTTTGTGTAACCTATTACAATGCTAAAATAATTTTGTTTACCACTGATGTTATTGTCCAACATTGTAAGCATCAGAGAGAGTTAATTTGTTAGAATATACTATATAACTCATATTTTAGATTTAAAAAAACTCTATATATTGATCTCTGTTCAGCTGTAGGAAAAATGTAGTGGCCTGACGCCATACAAGCTGGGTTTTACTCCTGTATTTGTCACTGATCCACAGTAATGACCATTTGAAAACATTTTTGTCTGTAAAATTGAGTAATACTTACTTCACAGAGGTGTTGACATTTTATTCATTGTGAAATGCTTTGAGATCCTTGAATAAAATCCCTGTGGAATTATTTTTATCAGCTTGTATGTCTCCTGTCGGTGTTAAATAATATCTCGCAATAGGTTAGATTTTGTTGGAGTCTCCTCTGACAGTTATAATTTTAACCACAAAACTATTTTTAAGTAAGACTTTTACATGGCTATTCTCTTAGTATTCATTTATATTGATGTCCAGAATATTGTCATGTAGCCTTTTTTCCTTGCAGCTGGAATGTAAAAGAAATTCACCAGGCTGCTGACTATCTCAAAGTGGAGGAGGTGGTCACTAAATGTAAAGTAAAGATGGAAGACTTTGCTTTTATTGCTAATCCCTCCTCTACAGAGATTTCTAGTATTACTGGAAACATTGAACTGAACCAACAGACTTGCCTTCTCACTCTTCGAGATTACAATAATCAAGAGAAATCTGATGCCCCTTCTGCAGATTCAGTTCAGCCGCAGGCAAAAAAAGTGGGTTTAGAAAAGAAATCTGCTCAGACCAGAAAGCGAAAAAAGGCTTTTAACGCTCAGAAAAACATGAAGAATAAACCAGTGCAATATCAGAATGACATAATTGAGAATTCATCAGTCGATATGTTTTTAGATGCAAATAAACTGGCTACACAGATAACCGAACAAGCTGCCCAAGGCAGCGATAACTCAGAACTACTACTACCATCTGTGGTGGAAAGTGAAACTTTTGCAGCACAAGATGTTTTAGTTCAGACTATAGCAGTGAAACAAAAACGGGCGAAGCCACAGCAGAACTGTGCATTGAAAGAACACTGTATGTCTAATATAGCTAGTGAAAAGAACTCTTATCAGCTGGAGAGCTCAGGAGAATATCTCGATCAGAAATACTCCAAGGCCAAGCCAGTGTGCAACACTTGTGGGAAAGTGTTTTCAGAAGCCAGTAGTCTACGACGACACATGAGAATACACAAAGGAGTAAAACCTTATGTGTGCCAACTCTGTGGGAAAGCATTTACACAGTGTAATCAGCTGAAAACACATGTCAGAACTCACACAGGTAAGTTGTAGTCTTCTTTATAAGAGCTTCTTTTGTTTTTAATGATAACATGAAGAGACATAACTAGTATGTTTCAGAATCTTTGAATCTTCACACTGATATTCTGTATATTTGGATGGTAACTGCTGGTCAGTGATAATTGAATTCTACCAGTCTGTAATGTTTTAAAATAGAAAACTATGAATGTGTATTAAGGATGCTAAGGACTAGTTGATTCCCTCTCCCTTGCTGCTTCTATCAGATAGATGCAGCAAAGGGAGTGGGGTAGAGAGGGTACTTCAAAGTGGCAATGCCACACAGCTGATCCCGGGCTGAGCTGTGAGGCACTGCCCCTTTGAAATGCCACCTTGGTGTTTCAAAGCTGTGCTGCACGGAGCTGACCCAGGCTCTGTGCGGCACTGCAGGAGGAATGCAGAAGTGCCTATCAACTAGTCGAGTAGTCAATGGAAATTCCATCGACTCCTTGACTAATAAATTACTCAATATTTAACATCCTTAATGTGCATAGAAAAATAATATAGCTGGAAAGGATAGCATTGTAGTCAAAGCACACTGTAGGGAATACCTTGACTTGAAGTCTCAGCAGAGCTGACTCATTCTTTTATTTTTGGAAGGTAAATAAGTGGACTATGGTGCAGAAAATGGCTGAATCACACATGATTAGATTGTCCTTTCATGCTATGTCACATTAATGGCATTCATAATTTATTAGTTCACCGTCTTTCAGATTTCAGTGATATACACAGTATAGTAATTTGTGTGGCGTCAAGTCTGGATATACTAAAATGAGTTGGATAACATAAAGTGTGGAAAAATCCTGGTGGCAAGCAGGAAACTTTGACAGTGATACCTTTTTATAGTAGAGTGGGATTGATAAGGCATAAATTATTTCAGAATTTGAGTTTTTCATTTAATTACAAAATGTTTATAGCGCATAGTTACAAAACATCTTCCAAGTATGAATTGATGCTGTGCAGTCTGCAAACTGCTCCAGTACCTTTGCTGCTACTGTACATAGCCTTCTCAGCGGGTGACAGAACAAAATTGTCTATTCCCAGGTTTCTTTTACTGCTGTTATTCAGGACTCTATGGTAGTAGTGAAACTTCTAAACATGATGTCAGTTTCATTATGCTCCTCTTTGGGAAAACTTTGAGGGTGTATCTATACTGCACCGTTATTTCGAGATAACTAGTATTATTTCGAAATAACAATGTGAGCGTTTACACAGCCATTCTGTTACTTCAAAATAATTTTGAAATAACAGATGGCTTATTCCAAAATCTATAAACCTCATTCTACGAGGAATAACACCTATTCCAAAATAGCTGTTTTGAAATAAGGCATGTTGTAGATGCTCTACTGTTGCTATTTTGAAATAGCCCCTCACCAGGGCCATTCTAAGTTATTCCTCCCCAATGCTTCCTGGGGCTCTAAATCAAGATAGCATGTCTACATTAGGGAAGCCTGCCTCGGACTAACTTTGAGGCTTCCCTGCAGTGTAGATGTGCTATTTCAAAATAAGCTATATTGGAATAACTATTCTGGAATAATTTATTTCGGAATAGTCGTGCAATGTAGATGTACCCTGAGAGAGTCAAGCAGAGGAGCTATTTCCAGGAATCTCCAGAAGGAATAGAGATGCGGCAATAAATAAAAGGCTATAAGAGTGGGCAGAGCCAGGGGCGGATATACGGCAGGGCGAGCGGGGCGGCCGCCCCGGGCCCCGCGCTGCAAAAAGCCCTGCACATGCGCTGTGGCGCCACCGCGCATGCGCGTTGCATCACCGTGCATGCGCCGTGGCAAAGGGGCCCCGCAAGATTATGCTGCCCTGGGCCCTACAAAACAGTCATCTGCCCTTGGGCAGAGCAATAATTCTTTTCCATTCCAGTAGTCAAAGGTGAGGGCTTCAAGTCTATCAGATACTGTCAAGCCAGAATCTACTATAAAAGTTGGAGCCCTGAAACAGGATCCAAGAACCGTGTTTCTGGTAGAAACATCAGCAGTATATTTTCCTTTTCTCCCGATTTTTTTTGCATGGGTGGGTGGGAAACCTTATCATTTGTATCAGTTACTAGATAGCAGGTTTAGACCTTTGGAAGGTGTCTGGTTATTTCTTTTTTTGTCAATGGCATGTATTAACTAGAAGATTTACCTGGCTTTGCTTGGGTCCTTAAACTCAATTAATTTTGTTTTTTCGAAAATAAAATGAAAATGTACATGCTTCGTTGAAATAGTAGCTCTGAAGTGGGGCCCAGAATAATTAGCTGGTTAAGTGATTTGTTTAACCAGTTAATCACCAGCTGTGGCTGCTGCTCTTTTCCTGCCC